ACACACACACACACACACACACACAAGTTCTATCAGAAAATAATCATTTTTTGTTTTTTTTTTTGTCGCGGTACTTTTCACTGGCTTTCCTTTCCTCTTGGACGCCCCCTTGCCCTTCCCACAATCCTGCTGTTGTGCGGATTCGTACACTGCTTGTTCTGTGTTTGCGACATTCGCAGTTGCCCTCCTACTCTCTTTTCTTTGTTTGACTACTTATTTCTCATCCGTTATGCGTTTTGTAAAGACACACCAACGTGGTTTTTGCAACGTGTCAACAAGTCTCATATCCTTTGGAAAAATCGTCACCCGCTTCGAATGGATTGCAACCTCGTTCGAGCTCTCCATCAAATACACGAGATAAGCTTCGACTACCTTGAGAAGTGCACCAATTGCAAGCATCTGGAACCGCATTAGATTTGTTGCAACTTCTTCTTTCTGCACAATCTCCTTCACTAGCCTTACAAATGGTCTGTAAGCGATGCAAAGGTCTGTGCTGCGTTGCAACCGCCGTATTTCTGCCACAGCAGTCTCTCCATGTCGGCGATTGCGCCTCTGAACCCCTTCGCTTCCACCAATTTTCCCTCGTGTTTCCCCCGGGCCATCCATTGCTGCTCCTCCCTGCCCCCTCCCCCGTCCTCTCCCTCGTCCACGTGCCATTGGTGTTCTTCCCCCCTTCCCATTTCCTCCCCTCCCCCTCTGTGCTAGTGTCGGTGTTCCCCCATTGTCTCTTCTGCTTGTGGCCTTCCGCTTCATTTCTCGTCCAATCTTCCAGCTACCATCACTGTCTATCGTGCCGCTTGGTGGTCCGCTCTTGTCCACAACAACACATCCCGCATCCGTGTCTTCAGTTGGTCAGTTTGCAGCACATGCCACGTCCGTGTCTGCAGGCGGTCCATTTACCTCACATGCCGGTTGTATTGTGCGTACAATATGAGGTTTTGAAATGCCCCTGTTATCATCGCTGCCTGCTATGTCCTCCACCGACATGTACTGAATGTGATGCAGCAAACCATCTGAGTACGTCACAAAAAACGGAACAGCGAGAGGGTCTCTGAAGACCATGAACACGTCGGCCCCACACGCATAACGCATGGGACACACAACGGGTACCCATCCAAGTAGTGTTGTCCGCCCGTGTCTGCGACGAATGAGCCTCAGACAATTATGAGGTGTATCATTCAAAGATGCTGTGCCCACACCATCGCCCTGCATTGATCACATATTCTCATTTTAACGTCCGTCATATCCAACCAATATCATCTGACGGTCCTCCACCTTTATTTTATCCCAACACATCTTTGCATGCTCGCGTAATAATGATTTGTCATTCACTCTAGAATTGCACAACGACACACGAGCCAGACAACCATGAATTGCCAATGCTCAACAACACATGAAGGCATCCAACCCATAGGTAGTCATTCGCCTAAATGCAGTGTGTCTGTCATCGTAACTTTGTTTTCGAAGATGGGAGGATGAAAGACACCGGGTACCCAATTCACATGATAACCGTACATCTCAGTCGATGAATGTTTGTTGAACTCACTCTGTGGAATGAGAGTTCCGGATATGTCAATGTCACGCACCCTCTCCAGCGTTGTCATATCCTAGCCCCATATGCTAATGAACAGACCATCATAAGTGACCTCCCTGCCTCTTACATGTCGCAGACAAATGTTATCCTCCCCAGAAAAAACTTTCCCCTCTATAACTGGTGACAACACCGGGTTTTCAAGCGGGATCTTGAATTGTGTTCCCTCGGCATCATCCATGCGCATAAACACTTTCTCGGACTCCAGCTGATCCTTGTCCAAACAACGAGAGATGAACTCGTCGTTTATGTAAACTGTACTCCAACAGTTTCCCATGAGATCGCAAGGAATGGTTGACGGCACCCAACCCCACCGTGTGTTCCGTCTTGCATCATTATCCTCACAAACTTCATCTCACCTCTTCCGTCCTCATAAACCACCCATTGCTCGGTCGATTCATAACGATCATAAAAAAAATCATTAAGTCGTATCTCCCCCTTGTCTGTCGATCTCTTTGTAAAGACATTTGTGTATTTGACCAAATCCTCAACCGCCACCCCGCCGTTTATCCTTTTAACTGGGTCGAAAACAATGACTGTCGTGATATAATGCCATGTCTCCAATTTGGGCGGACGATACGGAACCCATGTGTCACGACTCTTAAACGCGATGCAGTGTTGAGCACCGATCAACCCTGGTTGCACCTTGCCAGGTTCCCAATTGATATCGTACTCAAATTCATTTCCTGTTGTAGTCTTCGTGACAAAGTCCCTAGGAACTGTGCACTTTGCAGTGTTTGTGTTGCCTTTCGCCTCCCCTTTTTCCACGTCCACATTTGTATGCTCAATATGAACAGCAAACACACAAGGAACACCGTATTTTAACACGGTTGGGAAGTGGGTGCCACATACGCCAGAATATGCCTACAACGTCTTCATATATGACTCTCACTTCCCAACCTCATCGTCACAAGTGTAACAGATAGATAGATAGATAGATAGATAGATAGATAGATAGATAGATAGATAGATAGA